GGGATTCTCATAGCACAGTGTCTTGGGACCTGAATTTGGAAAAGGAGCTTTCATCAGTGGACAAGGAATTCTAAGGAAATAAGATTACAGAACATTGCACACACCATCTAAATTTTTATGGGCTTTGCTTGACCTAGCTGTGCCCTCTGTCTAGTAACCGGATTTGATTGGATCTTTGTGAGAAGAGTCTCATTAAGAAGGCGGGAAACAGGGCGGAGAAGATAGTTCAGTCAATAAGGTGTTCACTTTTCAGGCATGAGAATTGGAGTTCAGTCCCCAGCACCCAGATGAAAAACTGGGCATGGTGCCATGTGCTTGTCACTCTGGTGCTGGGAAGGTAGAGACAGAGGAATCCCCAAGGCTCCCTGGGTACCAACTTGGCGTACTCAGTGAGCCCCAGATCCTAGTAAAAGACCCTGCCTCACAAATGCAAGGCAGATGATTCCTAAGAAAGACACTGGAGGTTGATTTCTGGCCGCCACATGTACAGACACACACACACACACACACACACACACACTCACACTCACACACACTGACACATACATTCACACACACTTTCACACATGCACACACACATATTTGTGCATAATACACACACTAGATTTAGTGAAATATAAAAAAAGGCATGAGGTTGAAAGGGGCATGTTTGGGGAGGAGATGGCGGTAGATACAATCTCATTTCATTGTATGTATTTAAAATCCTCAAGAAGAAGAAACCACAGTTGATCTAGGAAGTGAGAAGCGGGAGAGGGGTGGTAGAGGTGGAGGAAAGGGTGAGAGATGCTGAGGAAGGAAAACATGTTTTCCCCATGCCGGTTTTCAAGTGTCTCCATGAGAATGCACTCACTTGGACTCTGCAGTTTTCTTGTTTGAAATTTCCAAAAGGAGGCCAGTAGATCCTAAATATCTTTACCAGCCTGGTCTAGGGAGCTTGTTGACCTGGAACCTTAGAAGACATGAGGATGCATGTGGGTTTGACTTGGATTCTAGTGTCTTCATAAACACTCAATACAACTCTACGCTGATGATCCAGTGTCTGACCCGGAATATAAATTGTCCCCATAGACTTGTGTCCTAAGCACATGGTCCCCAGCTGCTGAAGTGTTTGGAGAGGGTTAGGAAACTGGTGGAGGCAGGGCCTAGTTGAAGAAAGTAGATCACTGAGGTGTGCCTTCAATAGTTATTTCTAGTCCCCAAGTCATTCCCGTACTCTCTCTGCCACCATCATGTTCTGTCTCACTTCAGGCTGGGGGACCATGGATTACAACTTCTGAGACAATGAGCCAACACACACACACACACACACACACACACACACACACACACACACACACACACACACACGGGGCCAGCAGGCAAGATGACTCAGCTTATAAAGGTGCTTGTCACCAAGGCTGATGACCTGAGTTCATTCCCTAGGACTCACCTGGCAGAAGCAGAGAGTAACTCTTGAAAATTGTCCTTAGACCACATGTGCACTGTGGCATGCCCCCAATAAATAAATAAGCAACAATAAAAATAACACATGCTTGTAAAAGACTTACATGTGCTCTTCTCTGTGGAGAGCTGAGATGAGGAAAACAAACAGACTGAGGGTCTGACAATACTTTGTAAAGAAACAGACATATAAATAAAAGTCTCTAAGTAGCATTGAGCACTAACTAGCAAGTGGACTCATGTCATGGACCCCAACTGCCTTTGCTGTTGGTAGCAGAACACACAGAGGGAGTTTTCCAGATGTGTACAGGACCGTGACCACCTGCTTGTCCTTGCTTGGTTTTGATGTCTGCTGTCAATGAGACACCAGGAATTGATTGCAGTTTCCAAAGTGTGGCGATTTGAATAATAACAGTCCCCACAGGCTCATAAATTTGAATGCTTTGTCACCTGGGAGTAACACTATTTAAAAGGATTAAAAGGACTAGGAGGTGTGGCCTTTGTTGGAGGAAGTGTGTCACTAGGGCTGGGCTTTGAGGTTTAAAAAGCCCACACAAGGTCCAGATTCTCTCTCTCTCTCTCTCTCTCTCTCTCTCTCTCTCTCTCTCTCTCTCTCTCTCTCTCAGATCAGGATGTAGCTCTCAGCTACTGCTCCAGCACCATATCTGCTGCCGCCATGCTCTCTACCATGATGATAATGAACTAACCTCTGAAACTGTGATTATATTCCCAATTAAATGTTTTCTTATTTTTTAAATAAGAGTTACCTTCGTCATCCTATCTCTTCACAGTGACTAGGACATGAGGCAAGTTGAAGTTTCATATTATGGAGCAAACCACTCCAAATATATACCAGTTATACCTTCAGGTATCGATAGTGGCAAAGGAAAAACTTTCAAATGTGTCACACAACACCTGACATGCTTTCCAGACATTTCCAGTGTGAATTAATTAGAATACAAACAAAAAGATAGACACTGAGGACAAATGAAAGCAAAGCAGGCCAGAGTTTTCCATGGCAACAGTGAAGTAGGAAAGCAACATTCTCACCACGTTCTATTAATGTAAAAATAGAAATTAAAAACCCAAACTGGTTTATGGCAGTGGTTCATAGCTTTTTGATGAAGAGGCCCAGAGTAGATAAGAATTTTGTTCTGATCTCTTAAAACACTGATCATAAATGTGTAGCTTACATTATTTGTTTGTTTGCTTGTTTGTTTCTTGAGACAGAGTTTTTCTGTGTAGCCTTGCCTGTCCTGGAACTTGCTCTGTAAACAAGGCAGGCCTTGAACTCAGAGATCTGCCTACTTCTGCCTCCCGAGTGCTGAGATTACAGTCCACTACTGCCCGACAGTTTGTATCTTAAGTTATTTACCTTCAACCACTACAAGCATCTCAGATGTCCAAAAGGCTACATTAAAGGACCTTAGACTCCTATTCAGAATGCAGAGCCAAGAACAGAGCATACATGTGGGGAAAGTTGGTTTTCACTAGAGTGCTGCTATCTACTCTTTACCTAGTGCATATACTTTAAAAAAAATTTTTTTTCTGTTTTTAATTATGTGTGTGTTGGGGGTTGGGAGTATGTGCACATGAGTGTAGTGACTGTGGAGGCCAGAAGAGGGCAGCAGGTCTTCTGGAGCTGGAGTAACAGGTGGTTGTGAGCATCTGACATGGGTACTGGGACTTGAACTCCCGTCCTCTGCAAAAACAGCCATCCGTCTTCACCACTGATCCCCCACTCCGGCCCCCATTGCACGTACTTTTTACATGGCTTTAATATAGGAACGATCTGGGCTTTGGGCTCAATCATTGTCTTGTGATTTTAGGTTTTCAGAGACTGTAGCTACATGAGTGCGTGGGTTCAGGCGGATCCGTGGAATGAAGATACAGGGGCATCTTAAGAATGAATTTAGCCTATCATGGATGCTGGGGGGTCTAGCCTCGAAGGACTGAAGCACTAACCCTTTGCCTAGGGCATATTTATTTACTCCATTTTACAGTTTAGATAGTTAATCTCCGTACCTTCAAAGCAAACCAAAAGGAGCTCCCAGAGACCAAATGCCAGGTGCAAATTGTTTGATTTATCAGGTACTACGGGTTTTGGGGTTTCCTGGACCAAGTTTTGCATAGGCCTTTGATCCTTGGGGGACTCTCTGATCCTTGACTCTCAAACAAGATTCACATAGGTAAGAGAAACAAAAGGTGTGGTTAAACAAAAGAAAGATTAGAGCTAGGTGCTGCTCTCTGGAGCCAAGCCAGGAGCTCAGCAGGAATGCACTACAGATATGGCTATTACTCTCCTAAATTCCTGAACACATTTTGGCAAGGTTGTTATTACATATTTTGCACTTGTTTTATTTCATGTAAGTGGCACATATTTGTTGCTTTAGCTAAAACTGCAGAAAATATCTTTGTACTTTAAATTCTCATCAAAGAATTTTAAATCAAAGAACTTTTATAGAATCCACCCTTTTTTTTTTCCTTTTAATTTATCCTATTCTTAAATTTCTCCTTGGTCTAGTTTTCTTTTGTTGTGTGGAGCTGAGGAATGCCCTTGATGAAAAAGGAGTATCTTTAACAAAAATTTTTTGACAATAATCTGTGATGAATTAGACATTATTTTAGTTAATTTGAAGCTTAATTCTACTCTTAATAATTCATGTTTTCTTTCATCTTTCTTACAATTATGTCAATACTAGATAATTGAAAGGTCTTTTGTGCCATTGATATTGAATAATCACTAAAGAGTTAGTAATTAATACAAGCTTAATTCCAAGCAGCTTTCATAAAAGACTATTATTAAGTTTAAAATGTCTATAGTGAAGCTAGGCTTAGTGGCACATACCTTTAATTCCGGCACTCAGGAGGCAGGGGCAGGCAGATCTCTGTGAGTTCAAGGCCAGCCTGGTCACATAGTGAGTTTCAAGATAGCCAGGACTACATAGTAAGACCCTGTCTCAAGAAAAGTAATGTCTATAGTGAGGGCAATATGGCTCAGTGGATAATGGTGCTTGCAGCCAACTCTGGGGACCTGAGTTGGATCCCCAGAACCCACATAGTGGAAGGAGAGAAATGACTCCCACAAGTTGTCCTCTGATTGCCACACACCTGCAAAATGTGGAAATAAATGTAACAAAAATGTCTATAGTGAATTTGTTTTTGTTGAAAAGATCACGCAACCGTAATGATTAAACGTATCTCTAACGTGGAATCTGTCTAATGTCTCATCCGATGTTTAAATCTTGCTCTTCTCTTGAGACTTTTCTTTAACTCAAAAGTTTCTTAGGATTTGGTTAGATTTTAAATGGTATTCACCTTTAATACGTTAATCTTTTAACAACAAAAAGCGCTTCCATTGCTTATTCTTGTGCTGAATACTTTATCCATTTGTCCCAATTGGTATTTGCTCACAGGGTGGTAAGTTATGAAAACATCAATAAAAACGACTACTACACAATTAGCAAAAAGGCCGTGACCCACATTTACAACGACGACATCGAGTTCATCGAGATTGAGCGGTGGGAAAAGGAGTATCTGTACCACAGAGAACTCACCAAGATCCCCATATTCTCGCTCTTCCGGAAGTGGAAGGCTTTCAGCGTGTGGAGGAAGAATGTCCGCTCCAAGAAAATCACCGGCTGTCGAAAAGCGCTACAAAAAAATCTGTTCATTGTTAATCCTGTATGTATTTCTTAATCATGTTTTTAAAAACATTACAGGGCAAGAAACTGTGACTTGGTCACAGGCGTTGGTATACCAACACCTGACATAGACTACTTCATCTTGGTAAAAGTACAGTCTTTGTCCGGTCACCTCTAGCAATCCAGTCTTCAGCGGGGTTCTGGCCCCTTAACAAGGGCAGCACAAGGCAGACGCGTAAGAAGAGAGGCACAGGTCTCCTTCGATTAGAGGCAGCCTAGAAATCTTAGAATGGTAATTTTCTCCAGGAGGGGTGGGGCCTCGTGCACCCGGGCCCCATTTTTGAAGAATTACGTTCAGGTGCTGTGCGGGCAACCACCTCATCTGTCTATTTCTACACGAGTCACCTTCTCCGTTCAGAAGCCACAGTTTGCTTCTCTTTGAGAATAATCTGATTTTTATGGGCCGTGTCAGTCGTACCACAGAGGAGGTCGAGAGAACTAAGATTAATGTAGATCAATAATAATTAAAATTAATCATGCAAAGTAAGGGTGCAGGATGTGTCGTCTGGGGTCACCCCTCCCAGTGAGCGTGCTCAACTGTGCAAGGATGTCCTGTTCTCTTGCAGCATTAAACCTCAAACTCTGCATCCTTAACTCCATTAGCCACTTGAACTTCTTTGCCATGCTTTAAATACTGCATGGATCACACAATTTTTTAAGTCATTATGCAAAATCTCTTCCTGGATTTGTCTTTTAAATGACCTTTCCCAGTCTTCATGGCCTCTTATGTACCGAGATCATCTCTTTGCCAGTGGTGTCTTGGTCGTGATAGTACCTCCCCTTAAATTTCTTCTTAGGATTCTAGAAAGTTCGAATCTTTCTAAGCTAAGATTTACCTAGGAATCTACCTACTGTTGTGGTTCAAATACCTATTAGCTGCTAACCAACATTCCACGAGCGTAATGTATACAATTAAGTGACTTCAATGGCTAATTAGACCAGGCTAAAAAAAAAAAAAAAAGGAGCATAGAATTTAAATTTTTTATGTAAGAATTATTTTTTAAATTAAAAAATTAACCTTTATTTTGTGTGTATGGATGTGCTACCTGCGTATTTGCCTGTGTACTGTGTGTGCAGGGCTTTTGGAAGCCAGAAGAGAGTGTTGGATCCCATGGGGATGGAGTTACAGAGCGTGGTGAGCCGCCATGTGGTTGCTGGGAGCAGAACCTGGGTCCTCTGGAAGAGCAGCCAGTGCTCTTGACCACTGAGCAATCTCTCCAGCCCATTTTTAAAATGTCATTGCATTTTACTTATTCAGGTGCTTGTGTGTGTGTGTGTGTGTGTGTGTGTGTGTGTTCACCTGATCACCATGGTATATGTGTGGAGGTCATAGGACAACTTGCGGGGGTTAGTTCTCTCCTACCTGGTGTGTCCCTGGGATTGAACCAAGGTCCTCCTCAGCTTGGTGGCAGATATCTTTACTTGCTGAGCCATCTTGCTGGCCCTGAAATTTTTATTTCACAAAAATAGCCAACCTTGTAAGCACCTGTGCTTAAATTTTCCTTAACAACTTCATTGATACACAATTTACACGCTTGCTATGTATTCACTCACCCACGGTGTATTACTTAGTGTGTTCACTAACGACGGACCAACCATTGCCACAGTCCATCTGGGCACATATCCATCACCCTAAAAGGAAGCTACATTTGCCGCCGTGAATAGCCATTCTCCATTTCTCCCCAACTCCCTTGTCCCTCCCCAGCATCTGCTTCCTGTCTCCACAAGTTGGCCCCTTCTCTGCATGTAGGGAATCATGCAACATGACTGACATTTTTCACTTAATGTACTCTCTTCAAAATGCATCACTGCTGTGAAATACCATTTATTTCCACTGACTAAATATATTTCTTTGTGTGGTTATACCTACTTTATTTATCTCTTGATAGGTATTTGAATTGTTTTCCCACTTTCTGGTAATTACAAATAATGCTTTTACAAATAAATGCAATTGCAAATTAATAGCCATGTATAATTTTTTCTAAGCATATTATAAATTCTCTAACTATTTTCTAAACATTTTATAAATATTCATGGATCCTTTTTTTTGTCTCCTGGGCACATTGTTGGGATGAAAGTGATGGGTCATTTGTGACTCTGTTTATCCTTTTCCAATGCATCTTGTTAGCCAGGGTAAATTTAAAGTTAAGTTTAGTTTTGTTATATGTCATAGCCTCTCAGATTAATAAATGGTCCCTTCTGTGATCATTGTGACTGGACACTGTAAAGCCTTTTAGTAGCCATTAGCTGAAGCTAATGAAATTTAAGATGTGTAGCTTTTGTTATTTGTCTTCAACTTTATTCCTTTAACAGCCAAAAGACATGCATCCTTCTTGAAGTGAAAAGGAGAGAAATGGGCAAATTAAATATGATAACCCGATTAATTCTTTTACAAAAATGTTTCCGAAGAGTTCCTACCTGGTGTGTGATTTTGTACTTATTAGCCAAGTTAAGACCCCCTCACACACACCCCTAAAACCATTCATAACCAGTTTTCATTCTGCACATATTTTTGCAATGTAGGACTTTAAAAATTAAATACTAATTCTTATTTTCATTCAGTATCTGCGACCAGCTCTTCTTAAAATTAATGAAATGTGCTACCAACTGAGTTTTATGGGACTCTGTTATATTGAAAAATTTCACACCTACACCCTGCAGGAGTTCAAGGCCGTGCAAATTGTGCGACTACAGGAGGTAATGGATGTTGTCTGTAGAGTTTCAGACTCCCTCTTTTCTCAGGATCCGTGACTAATTACACACACCTGTGAATGTTTAGGTGACAGAGCGCCTGGAGGATTTCCGAAATGAGGCCAAAGACGTGGTCAGGAAGTCCTGCCGCTTTGCCTTACGTGCTGCCGGATTTATTCCTGATGACTGTGCATTCGAACCCTATGAGGGTATGAAGGGCGGAGAACTGGGAGGGTCCTGAGGGGCAGCCTTCTAAAATACCACCTCTTCTGTATTCTTGTTTCCCTTCCAGCTAGATAGCTGTTCTCTTTTCACTTGTTCCAAACTTCTGCTTGCATGCATAAATTGTAGGCATGAATTCTATTTGTTTTCTGGGGTCCTGTGTTGTTTTTCAAATCAAAGGATTTTGTTGCTTTTGTGTTTTGTTTTGTTCTGTTTTTCTTTGAGTCAATATTGAAAGAGCTTTTACAGAAGATTTGTGCCTTGTATTGTCCTTAGATTACTTTAAGGTAAACATTGCAAGTTTAGTTGGAGCTTCATCTGATTTGCCCACTTATGGAGACTCGGAAAAAATGACGTACACAGAACAGGCCAGCAAAAGGCATCACTGCATGAGGCTCACATGGTGAGAGCATCTTCTTTCTTTCAGGATAGAAAAGAGAATCTACACTTCTCAAGACATGAAAAAGTCAGCCCTGGGCTGGGGAGATGGCTTGGTGGGTAAAGGCTTTTTTCCCAAGCCTGATGACCTGAGTTTGATTTCTGGAACCCATGGAAAACAGAGATGTAGCTTGCAATGCTAATACTCCAGTAAGAACATGAGTGCTGAGTTACAGTTGTGAGTCTCCCACAACGCATGCACCATATCAGCATCCCACAGTACCTGCGCCATATAAATCAGATTGCAAAGATTTCATACTTTACTCACAGACACAAGTTACACACATTGTGTGCACAGAGTTTTTCCTTAAAGCTCCCTGAAAAACTCCTGTGGCCCTTGGACTAGGTGAGCTGGGTGCATTATTCTTAACAAGCATCTTGTTCATCAAATAACCCATGGGAAAGTCAGGACCACTAGTTAAGTCAACGTCCTATAATGAATACATTTATGCTTTCAAGGCAAGAAGGTGTAGGAAAAATTCCGAAGTTTTTCATGTTTTACTATAATTCAACCAAAATTCCAGGAGATATTATGTTCTAAATTTTAAATCCGTGCCTTAGAGTTGCTATCAGAAATATGTAGTGATCACAGAAATCTGAGAGTGTTTGCCTTTTTCTCAAGCTTCATCCGTCTGAATGACTACCTAATTCAGAACACCCTGCACGTCTTAACAGTAAACACTGCCAGCTCACTTTTGAATTTTCTCTCTGACAAACTAAAGCGAACGCCCTCAGCAGACGTCATTCAGAAGTGGATTACTGAAGAGAAGCCCGAAGTCACCGAGAAAAAGGTACATTTGGACAAAATTGTGTCTCTGGGTGTTTACCAAAAAGCGTCTCTATTTTGGAATTTTTCCTGGTGTTTTCTATATGCTGGGGGAAAAAAAAGAGAAATTTTCATTTGAGTGTTATATTGGTTAGTTTTAACTGTCAACTTGACATAACCTAAAATCATCCAGGAAGGGAGTCTTAATAAGAACTATGTAAGTCAAGTTGGTCTTTGGACATGTCTGTATTGTTATCACAATTATTTAGATTGTTAATTGATGGGGAAAACCTACTCTGCGTGTGGAAGCCACCATTTCCTGGGCTGAGCCCTGGGCAATGTAAGTAGGGGGCATATGTCCTGGGCTATATTAGTAGAGGGAGTTAAAAAGCAAGCAAGGATGCATTCTGCCGATGTCCCTGACTGTATGTGATGTTACTAGTGCCTTGAGTTCCTACCTGGATCTCCCCTCAGTGACAGCCTATAGCGTGGAGTTGTAAGCCCAATCAACCTTTTCCTCCTTTGGGTTGCTTTTTATGAGGATATTTTATGACAGCGATGGAAATTAAAAAGGGCATATCCATTACAGCATTTGTTATTATAAGGTGTAGTTTCTATCAAGTATATGAACCCCATTTACTTTTTAAAACTTTATTTTTATTTATTCTTTGTGTCTTTCACATGCATCTCGATCCTGTTCATCTCCCTGTCCTTGGTATCTGCCCTCTGCCCTTGCAACCACCCTCCAAATATAATAAAATAAAACTTAAGAGAAAAAAAAAGGAAAAATCAGTCTTGTCATGGAAGCTGTAGTGTGACACAGTGAGTCCCGCAGTAAACTCTTTTATCCATGTATCTTTACTTGCAAGTGTTCATGCAAAGAGTCATTGGTCTGGTTCGAGGCCTCTGGTTTCTGCTACACTATCCATGCTGTCCCATTTCCATTTAAAATTATTTTCCAAGTTTGCTTGCATTTCAATTTTTACAGAGAGAGGTGTTTTTACATTGCTGTATCATCTTCCAATAGTTTTATTTTTGCTCTTTCTGTGTATTATTCCCAGAAAGACTTCCACATGCCATGGATCTAAATCCAGCTCATTATGTGAACTTGCCTGCTCCTCTTTGCATGTTTGTGTGTTTGCTTCCCTTGGTTGCATTCTGCTAGGTAGGATCATTGTAACAGTGTACATGTGGTCCTTCCAGGGGGCCCCACTGGTGGAGAAGCAGGAAGAAGATGAGTCTCTCATCCCCATGTTCCTTACGGAACTGATTCTGACCGTGCAGTCTCTCCTCTTCGAGCCTTCTTTGGATGACTTTTTGGTGTGTATTTCATTATCTAATATCTTCAAATAAGCAACCTTTAAAATAGTGGAGCAACTTCTGTACAGTCAGCTGATGGGTAAGACTGCAGCTGGCAGCACTGTACCCTCACCTGGGGGCAGAGCAGAGGCTTGGCAAGGCACTCCCTCAAGAGGACAATTCAGGGTGGCACAAGCCTTAGACTGCTGAGTGCATCCCTCTGAGCAGAGTCTAAGACACCACACTGTTGTAAGCACGACTTTTGAAGTCTTTGCAAGATCGTCTTTTATCTTAGAAAATTCTGATTCTTGGTTATTCATCACTCTTTAATTCCATAATTTTATAAATTCCATAAATTTATCAACAGAAAATAATAATCATGCCTCCTTCCAGTCTTGTTTTGGTATGCCTGCATACCTAATCTACCATGAGATTATATGCACTTGGACACATTTTTAAATTTAAAATTAAATTATGTTCTCTGCCCCTCTTCCTCCCTCCCTCCCTCCCTCCCTCCTTTCCTTCCTTCCTTCCTTCCTTGTTTTTGTTCTTTCTCCTTAACATTGTATCATAAGCATTTGTCCATTTCATTAATTACATTGGAAACATCTTTGGGAAGGAGTATAGCATTTTCTATAATCCATAGGTCTGAGCCACCATTTTTTAATATTTTGTTTTCTCTAATTATTTTAGCTATTATGAATAATTCCACAATGAATGCCTGTGCATAAATCTTTTTTCTATGTCTAATTTTTTTCTCAGCTCATATTTCTAGGATAGAAACTATTTTCCAAATACCAATAAACATCTCACCATCATTTAATTTTTCCTGAGTTCCACTTGGCTTTCCTTCCCTCATAGTGTTTTATTCATACTTCAAAATGTATCTCATCACAATGTGTTACAATTTGTTTTTGTTTTTGTTTTGAGACAAAGTTTCTTTGTGTAGCTTTGGCTGTCCTGGAACTAGCTCTATAGGCCAGGCTGGCTTCAGACTCACAGAGATTCATCCACCTCTGCCTACTGAGTGCTGGGATTAAAGGCGTGCATCATCACCACCCAGCAGGAGTTATTCTTATTTATCAGAAAAATTCAAAAACTTCATAAATGCAGTCATCTGTGCTTACATTATGTTTGTGTTTTTCTCTCTGACAGGATGGCATTTCTGGGGCAATTAATCATTTTCAAAACACTGTATTGTCAGTTCCTAATCTGGTGCCTGACTCATACTTTGACGCTTTCACCAGCCCATTCATTAACAAGAAGGTGGAAGAGAAGACCTGTGGCCCTGGACCAAGCCTGTCAGCAGTGTTTGAGGACGACAGGAATTTTCTCACCATCATCATGCAAATAAAGGTAGATTTGCTTTTACTAAAACACTGTTTAGTATATCCCCAGTTTGTAAGAAATTGAAGAATGCACTTTCTTCCTGTCTTATCTTTGAATGTGCCATTTTGTAGAAACTGGCAGGCACCTAATCTCCAAATAGTAAAATCTGAAAATAATGTGGGTACCTTAAAGACTGTCCTGCTGGCGCCAGCGAGGTGGCTCAGCAGGTGGACCTGAGTTTAATCCCAGGGACCCACATGATGGAAGGAGAGAACTGACTCCCACAAGCAAATTGTCCTCTGACCTCCATCAGTGCGTGGTGGCACCCGCCAGCATTCAAAATAAATAAAAACGTAAGAGAAACATTTTAAATAAATATGCTTCAAAACCAAAAATAACATTTAAAAAAACTTACCATGACGGGCAGAAGAGTGGCCTGACATTAGCAAACACCATTAGCAAACACTGTCCTGTGTTTCTTGGGACACCCTGGGTACAAACAGAGCGGAGCAATGTCTTGCCAGCCATGATTCTAACT